AACAACACAGAAAGCCAATCTGTGCCAAAAATCGTATATGGCTCCATGTATATGACCAACAGTACATGGAGTGTGCAACTCCATGTATTTTACCAACAGTACATGGAGCGTGCAACTCCTCTTGGTTTGGCACACGCCAGCATTTTTTTCTTGACGCCAGGTGTCAGCTCTTCAGGAGACCGTGAGTCATACCACACAAGGCATGCAGCACCACTCTGTCTGTGGCCATGTAAACTTGACTCGCTTTTAACTGAACTTGCACTGCGAGTACGATAAAAAAGCTACAGAAGGGGGAGAAAAAGTTTATATTTTCGCTTTGAAAGTGGCGAAACACAAATTCGCGATCGAAGCCCAGAGCGTGCTTTGCACTGTATGCGTCATTAGGTGTTGTGAACCCTCAGGCTCTGGTTCTCTAAAGTGTCAGGAACGAACGACCCCACACGGCACGAGGACAACTATTTATTCTCAACAGTATATTTCACTTCCATCGACTAATAATAATGAACAATGAATGAATGAATAACTAACACTAAAACCACCAGGTAGTTATAGCGTGAAAATGACAGTGTATATGAGAAAAGCATACACATACAACATACAACTACAGCGCACACAGCAAACCGCACATAGCGCATGTAGCGTATACTACGTCGTAATCATCAGTGGTACGGCGGAGTCGGGATACAACTGCATTGAAACGAACACAATATCACAAGCGAGAAGGCCTTTTACTCTCGGGATTTTGTGCTTTCGCAACATTCTCCCCACCAAAGGGCTTCTCACCGCCGTACAACAACTCACAAGTCAAAAACGACCGGGGCTCTGACTACACGCCCAGAACGAGTCATCCGCTGCTGTGGCGGTGGCCAAGGTGGAATATCACTACTGCTCACCACTTCGGCCAACTCGATTTCGCGAAGCTTGCCGCTGTGGGCTGTCACACACGACGCGGTCAACGATCCACTTCGGCATGGGGCGGACGATGGACCAGACAACACACAACCGATAAGCTTGCAGATCTTGGCTGTCACACATGACACGGTCACTGGGCCACTGCCTCGTGGGGCGGACGCTGGACCAGATAACATACATCTAATCTCCATGTTCCACACAGTCTCGCCGCTCACTTTTTCCGTGCTAACCAGTATCGCCCTTCTCATTTCCTTAGCTTCTACGCCTTGCACTTCTACGTCTTGCGCCTCTACGCCTTGCGCCTCTACGTCTTGCGCCTCTACGTCTTGCGCCTCTACGTCTTGCGCCTCTACGTCTTGCGCCTCTACGTCTTGCGCCTCTACGTATTGCGCCTCTACGTCTTGCGCCTCTACGTCTTGCGCCTCTGCGTCCTTCGGCCGAGACTCCAGCTGCTTCTGAGCGTCTCCGACCGATGTCGTCATGCACTGCATCGACGCAGTGGGCCTTGGATCTGATCCTCCCACTGGCTTCGAATACTCCTCTGACCGCTGCTTGTCAGTAAGCAAAGTCTTCCACGCCTTGTCCGGCGTCCTTTCGCGTGAGGCAAGCAAATCTCGCTTTGCTCCCTCATATTTACTGCTGGCGATGAGCTCGTTCATCTTCTTGAGCTTTTCGTCAAATTCTGTGCGGAGCGCACCCTCTTGCCGTCTAGCACTGCGCTCTTCAAACTCCTCGCTCTGTCGGAGCCTCTTCTCCACGTATTCTCTCAACCCATCGCCTTCAAATCCATACCGAATTCCGCTAGCGATAAAGCTGGCTTCAATGATCCATAGTTCCTGTGCCATGCTCGCTTCGTAACCTGGCGTGGTCGCCAAATGTTGTGAACCCTCTGGTTCTCCAAAGTGTCAGGAACAAACGACCCCACACGGCACGAGGACAACTATTTATTCTCAACAGTATATTTCACTTCCATCGACTAATAATAATGAACAATTAATGAATGAATGAATAACTAACACTAAAACCACCAGGTAGTTATAGCGTGAAAATGACAGCGTATATGAGAAAAGCATACACATACAACATACAACTACAGCGCACACAGCAAACCGCACATAGCGCATGTAGCGTATACTACGTCGCAATCATCAGTGGTACGGCGGAGTCGGAATACAACTGCATTGAAACGAACACAATATCACAAGCGAGAAGGCCTTTCACTCTCGGGAACTTGTGCTTTCGCAACATTAGGTGACGTCAGTAAAACACTTCCGCCGTGGGCCAAATGAGCTGCAAAGTTGCACACTCTTGTTAAAAAAAGTCCATGTACACTTGGTTTGATGCTCTACGTACCGTTAAATGATGCGAATAAAAGTCCATGTGCCTACATCCGGGCATAGGTCCATGTGCCTACATCCGGGCATAAGTCCATGTGCCTACATCCGGGCATAAGCGCATGTGCCTACATCCGGGCATAAGTCCATGTGCCTACATCCGGGTATAAGCGCACCCTCACATATAAGCACATGGGCTTTTCTAAGTGAATCCAATCCCGCGACACACTGATGCCACAATGATACCATCTTTACAGGATTTAATGTGCAATTATTTCCACATTCCATACTAATAACTCAATTACAAGCGCATGCGCCTATATGTGAGCCTAATCGACCTGCAACAAATTACAAATAAGGCAAAAACTCGCGTATAAGCGCATTTAAAAGCGGCTCATTACGGTACGCATAATCCTTTTCTGTTTTCTATCTCGTATTAGGGGTCATCCGTTATTATCGAAAAATTAAAAAATCCATTCTCGTGCAAAACTATCTCTGACCCACCCACCCATCCACCCCCATTTTTCCCATTAATATTTTTGATTTTTCCCAATGCCCACTGCTAGAAAATAAGAACTGCTCACTCCAGGTTCACTGACTGCAACTGTGTCAAGTACTGTAGTAGGTCTACCCACATCCATGCACGTCCTACACGTGACTACATGAACTTCAGAACATCCTACTGGTGTTTCCTACTGGTGTTTCCTACTGGTGTTTGCGACAATCGGTCCTACACTACAGTACGCTACACAGTCAGTGCAACAACTGTATGCCATTAAATTCCGCCAGCGTTCTTGACCACCCACCCCCTTTTTGCTTAAGGACGGTATATTTTATTATTTTTCGAAAATTAGGGACGACCCCTTACTGTGTTCACGTATGCCCTGGTTTCGTTCATTCCCTCATCTCTCATCATTATCAATTCTGAAGAAGACAACTGTCGAAACGTTAAATTACTATCAGTATCACCCAGTGTACAAGCGTTGCTCCAGTTGTGTGGTCCGCCTGTCCCTCGTTGCATTGTATTAGTTTTCTCAGTATTTGACTACTCATGTGTTACAGGTAGCTGGCTCAGTTTCTAATCTTTCTCCCGCCATGCCGCATTGCTCTTCTCCACAATTGATTTCCCTCTTTGTTATCAAAATTCATCTGAAAATCAACTTTCGTTGCTCTGTGTCTGCTGAGGGTGTCTCAAGGGAAACTCTACTGGACAAGGCCTGCCGCATTCTCTACCCGCCGCCAGCAACGGCTCTAAGCTATTTTGACTACATAAAACCAGACAATCATCTCACAACCCACGAACAATTCACAGAGGACTGATGGCAAGGGAGACAAGACAACAGATGTACAAAGCAACAGAGATTGACAACACTCTGCCTGGACTCACCCACAACCTGTTATGTTCGTCGACGCAGACTACCAGACATCAGCAGCTTTCAAGAATGACACTGGCTCCTGAAAAGTATAAGTTTAATAAATACCCACAACAACAGAGGAAATGCACGCTCCACCCACAACACTCCACACCAAATAGTGACTACTACACATGCCCTGGTTCGCATATTACCGGTCCACCAGCTACGCACTGTCTATATTCTCAAGCGGAACTTTTCGTTCAGAATGGTAACCAAAAGAAAACAAAAAATATGATCATCAATCTTCCTGAGGCTGAGGATTTTTGAGGTTAGGTTTTAATGAATAAAATTTGCCTTTAAATTGTTTTGGCAACGTTCAAACTATTACAATCATGGTCATTTAAAAAGAGTCTGCCACGAGTTCTCAGGGAACAGGGTATCGCTCTGCGATAGAATGAAAAGAGAATATGTAAGGATCATTTCACGTCACTTCTGTTACAAATAGAACGTTTCCAGTTAGCTTGATTCCAGTGAATTAGTAATAGTTTGGTCAGTTTTTATCCATAGTCACAATTTTGTCAAATAAAAAAACACACAAGCTTTGATTGTCAATTTTCACATAATGCTCGTAAGGCCACCCTTTGTTAATTCATTGTTTAACGTCCTTTTTTTCGCGAAAAGGTACGCGGGAGGGCGGAAAAAAAACAAAAGCCCATTCCAAAAACTGGAAACCCCAATCAAACATTTTGACCAGTAAAGCATGTGATATACACAATATTTCTGGGTCTAACGGCACTTGCAGGCATAGAACAACACTCTTTGATGGTACATTGGAGCACATGCCTGATGAATCCAACAAAACAGGTACATAGCATGGAGTTAGCATGTCATGAATTCATTACATCTGGATTTTTACTAGGACACACACCGTACGATATTTAAAAGCCAACAAAAAAAGAAAAAGAACACAAGACAAAGGCATGCCCGGGAGGCAAGATTATAAGTTTAAGGTCATGATCGGCACACTGTGAAACTACACAATCATGTATTTACAACTTCGCATATTATTGGTACTACTACTTTCTTCTTTTTTTTTCCGGTCGGAGGCAAAAAGGTACGCGGGCGCGGACGTTAAACAACGAAAAAAGAAAGGGTGGCCTAAGTACAGGTCCTCCCTCATTATAACGAGTCCGGTTAGTACATAAACCCCGCTAGTAAATAGAAATCTGAAATCCCCTGGCGAAACGTGGTCTATACAACTGTTTACAGGTCCGGTTACAACATAATCCGTTAGTACATAAAATCCGTTATAACGACCCTTTGCCCAGGTCCCTGGAGTGCCAAACCCTCAGTATAAGATAATATTGACCATGCAGGACCAAGGCCAAAACACGTAGGATAAAGCAGAACGAGGACACGTATTATGTCAAGGTATTCGTGAATATGGACGATCCTTTGCATCCAAGGAAGAGTTATGTTGGAGATTTTCAAATATCTTATAATGAGTTGAAGCATCGATAATTTATGTTGTACCGAGGGTAGCCTCGGTAAGTACGAAGTAGTGCCTATTCCACCTTTAGCTGCAAGTCCTGCTACAAGATAAGTCTTGTTATAAGATAACTTTTTCGATGGCCCAGAGATTATCTACTAACGAGGGTGGACCTGTAGTAGGTTTGTTCAAGAGGGTATAGCAGCAACACACACAGGTATGTGTCTTACCTAGTGATGTCCTGATCAGAGTGCAGACTCAAACATCATCCAGGATGGGCCTGTTGCCGGTGTGTATTCGGGCTGAAGGATGGCGGGCATTGGCACTGCTGCTACTGGAGATTTCAACGACTGGCTGAGCTTAGTTGCATTGCCAGCGGCGGCAGCAGATGCGGCATCTACGGTTACAAACACGGCACGACTCTGGCTTGTAGTAAGCGAGATTGAGTTCAACTGCCACGAGTCTGAGCGTGACGAGACAGAGCTACGCTGCTTCTGGCCACTGGCAAGGCTCATAGTCACTAGGATGACGGACACGGCTGCCACTTCAGACAGGCGATGGCATGTGGCCACCGAAAACCAGGTCCATGGATCAATAAGCTCAGTGAAGTTGATTGCGTCGGCCACACCAAGCATATAGTAGAAGAGAAAGGCTAGATACACGGATGAGGAAAGCAGCAGGCACAGCAGCATGTTAATGACCCGTTTCTGAAACTGAGGTCGATTGGCCTTGCCACCGCCGTCCTCTTTATTGACCAGTGAGGACTGTGTAAAACGACGGCCAAGAGTGCTTAGCTTCGACGGGCTGCGTTCCCTGCCTACTTCTTCACTCAGGGACCGTCTGCCGCTGGTGGCGGGTTCTGGAGCGAATGAAACCGAATTACCCCTCTGCTTGAGCAAGTACTCGTCGCCATCTGCCATATCGCCGCGTAACGGAGATGCCATTGGCGTCTGGTGGATACGCCGATACAGACGGAACATGATTACCAGATACTCAACAGAGATCACGGACAACCAAGCAACATTGGCAAGCATACAGATGAGCAGCAAGGTTCGAGACTTCACTGCCAGAACGAGTATGATATCCACCAGTGTGTTGAACGCCATAAAGCTGGCTACCACCAGGAAGATGCGAACACGGTTCTGCAGCCAGTGGAGTGAGCCAAGTTTGATCTTCAGCGAGCTACGCAAGGCCAGAAACAGTAACTGATACGCTGCAATCATGCATGTGAATGGCAAATTGCCGAGAGTGCGTGCAGCCACAGTCGGGAATCGCTTCTGAGAGTTGTACGGATCAACATACAACAGAACGGCGCGTAGCAGTGTTGCCAAGGTGAGCAGGGTCAAAACCGGTGGCGGCAATAGACCGCTGGAGCGACCGTTCAGCTTTCCCGTTGGCTGCCGCTTCGAGGCCTTTCTCCTCGCAACTGCTTTCCACAGCATGATAACACTGATCACAAACAGGCCCAGGAACACTGTGGCGTAGATGTATGTATGAAGCGGCCATGCAACTCCCCATACGTCCTTGGCTGTGTTCCACTGTGGCACTGGACTTAACCAGAGCTGCCGTTGCTTATCCACAGCAGCCCCAGAAGCTACTTCAGTTCCATTGTTACAAGCGTGGCCCTGGCCACTCTCCACACTCACTGTGCCATTGTTATCAGTTGAACTGCTATCCGAACCATTGGAGGTGCTGCACAGGACTGGGGCAATGTCACCAGCTCTGGACATAGCCTGCACAGTAGCCTGCACAGTAGCCATGCACACACTAGAATACTCAGTGGTCGTAACACAGTACTACTGACGGCAGACTGTAGCAGCTACTGCCCAGCACCACTCAGCATAACACACCGATAGAGCAGAACTATTGCTTGACGAGCCAGTGCCGGCTGCATGTGTAGCTGTAACTGGCAAGAAGAATAACGGAAACACTGAGTCAAAAGGGCACATCCGATCCCAACAGCTCTACAATAATTAGTTTTCCTGAACACCACGACTACTGGGTATTCTTGCACACCGAGTATCACACATTATCCTGGTGGAACGTCAAGGCCGTCAAAAACATTGTAACTTGTTTCGACAGCTCTACATAGTACATAATATCGCTGACAACCAGCTCTGTGCTGCCACGCTCTGGTTTCTCCTTTGTCGAGGTCTCAGAGGTCGCAAGGTACTTCACAACTAGTACCAGTAATAATTCAAAAGTAGCTCCGAGAAGTTCACGCTGCTTTCTCCCCAACATCAACTAATTTTCTTTTGTGATTCTTGCCTTCTGCATGCATCGGTCAGCCAGCAGCTACGAACCCCCGGTTGGGCGACCACGGGCAATCACCATGCATGATCACTGACCTGTCAAGCTGATTTTCCGGCCACGTCCCTCTGCTCGTCCAGCCGGCCTCTAGCTCTGTCTTGCACGATCTGTACAAATAATTCCTGACAATCGACAGGGGCCTAGGATGCGCGGATACCGGATCACGTCAGTAGATATCTGTGCTGTAGCCTGCTCGTAGGTCTACCGTACTTCCGTTGTCAGCATACACATTCGCCTGCAGCGATCCGGACACCGGGAGCCCCCCGGGTCGTCGGCCTGTAGCCTGGTCTCCGGCGTCGGTGGATCTACGATTCTGGACCGCCGGGACCGATACAAAGCCCACAGTAGCTGCAGCTCAGTAAAACGTTAGAAGATATAACCTACGTACTGTCCGTCAGGACTCAGTCGTACTGAGCAGTTGGAAAGGAGAACAAACTACTTACTTGGTCCTTGTTTACCAGATTGGTTACCGTATTCACTTTGCCAAGTCGTTTGGAGGCCCTGGTTGTCTTCTTCTGAACATTCCCCGTGTGTGTGTGTGTGTGTGTGTGTGTGTGTGTGTGTGTGTGTGTGTGTGTGTGTGTGTGTGTGTGTGTGTGTGTGTGTGTATGTGTGTGTGTGTGTACACTTCCAGCAAGGAAACAGTCAATCGCCCAGAATGTCGCATGTCGCATGGCCCATCGTAGCATGCTAGCACTAGGCAATAGACCCTTTGCACAATAACGGTCACGTGATCCGAGACGGGGCATCCTCTTCGATTTTTGTGCAGAGTATCAGTTGTTGAGCATGGTGGAACACTGTATTTTTCCATTTTGGAGATGGAGGAGAGAGTGTCGAGTGGTTTGCCATCGATGGCTGTGGAACCCGTGGACGAACTGTCAAATGAAGAATGGTCTGTGAAGGAACTGAACAGTTTTCTGCTGAATGAGGGTGCGTATCTGTCTGGAAAAAGAAGGAGTCGTTGGAGCGGTAAGTTTTCCGCATTCAGTGGATATTTCGGATTACTGTAGATTGAAATAATTTTCGTTTCTCTACCTTCTCTCCTCTGTCGATGTAGAGAACACTTCTGTATGCAGAACCCTGATGCTCCTAGAACTAAGAAGGGCACCAGTCTTCCTCGAGTGTACCTTCATCATGCCCAACATTAATTTTCATGCGTCCGACTCCCAGTGGATGAGTGATGAACCTCTGTTTCCCAGAGTGAGTGCCACACCATGCGTGCTCGTCTCCAACGCAGGGGCAAGTCGCCGACGACAGTGAAGAGGGAGCGCTGATGGAGTAGTACCAGTGAACAAGCCCATGGATAGTGTCCATGAGTTTTACTTTGGTGGCTATGTGCATAATGTGAAAGTCGGTCATATCGTGCACGCAGCCACAGCTCGAACTCAGATGACTTTCTCCGCGCACCTGAGCGATGAGGCTGCGTCTCTCTCCACTTCAACATCAGCAGCTCGAGCAGCGCCAGCAAGCAGTCGATCTTCCAATAGCGAAGACAGGGATGGGTCATGCCTTTTTCTCAAGCTCCAGAGTCTCTTGGCAGGGCGTTCATTATCTTAGCAAAAGCAAGGATGAAAGTCGTCATGGACAAAGTGTTCCGAGCACAACACTGTGAACGATATCGCAGCACTGCGGCCCTCTTCTCGCCAGATAGCCAGGATTCCAGAGTGTGGAATGCCAGCATCACCAGGGAACGCATGGAAAGACAAGTGGGTTCCTTAGACTAACGTTGGGGATGACGGTTGGTGCAAACAAGAACCCAGCAGTGGTCCTTGGAAATCATTTCGAAACTTCTTCCTTCAAAACTAAAAAAACTTCAAATGAAAAAAGGCTGAGGAGTACATACATGAACATCGCGTCGGGACCGTGAAAACACAGCCTGTCACAGGAAACTTGATCACGTCCTGCAGCAAACCATGCATGCTGGTTGCATGCCAAGTGTGCAGCGCGTGCACAGCATGCCCCGTCTCGACCCCTCTCGCTTATTGTGCAAAGGGTCTATTGTTGCACTTTTCAGAGTTTTCTATTCTTGAATTTCTTGTCACAAATCAGATCTAGACTAGAACCAGTACAGTGCCAGTGCCAGTGGAAAGCCTACTGTCCGCACTGACTGCATGCCTGGCCAGCTGGCCTTGTTGAGTGTAACCGTGGTTACTTGCGTGCTGCATGTATGCTGAGTTCAACTTCAAGTACTCAGGACATTGCATGCCTGTGATTTAACCAATTACTTTTTTAAGGTGTGTTCCCTCGTGCCATGGACAGTCACATGGTACCATGGTGTCTATTGTTTATGTTTGTAGATCTACATTGTACAGAGAAAAAAATTGTAGTCTTGGTGATCTACATGTACATGTACATGTATGTACAATCATGCTATAAACGTTATCCACTTGGCGTGGCACTTGTGATGGGACACTGATTCCATACACAACTGCAACCTGCAATTCAATCAATCTGCTGCTGCTGCCAGGCTGTTGACAGTGCAGCACTGCTGTGATTCAAACGTTCCTGTTCCTACGCTTCTGAAGTAATTTAGTTCTGGTCTTCTATTCTGCTATGAATCGTAGTATGATTGTCTTTCACTGTGATAGCACATGACTGTATGAACACTGCATGACTATGCCTATGGTCGATCGAGGATATAATAGGGCCTAGGCTGTAAATATCCTGCCAAGTGCCCAATACAGGGTTGGGCAAGAGGGAGGCATAACCTCCTTTTAGATGTTTTGTCTACATACATGTACAGGTACGTGTATATCACTGTCCACGTGTCGGCATGTCCACTGGGTGCAGTGGGAGTGGGTCTAATGAACGCCGGGAAGCACCGATGGGTCACAGTATGTGGTGAGCCTGTACTGCTGTTGAGCAGTATTGTGATACCACTGTAAATACAAGATAAACCTTGTTTTGTTGAAACATGTTGTTGGTTGACAGCATGTATTGTAAACAAGTAACAAGGCGGAGGACCACCGTGTTCGGAAACAGCGACCTCACAGTACTACAACCTCCGTGGTTGGTAGAGCCCCGGTCTTCACGACCATCTGAACCAGGGAGTCGTAAAAGCCCGGGAGAGGACACGGCACACATTCCTAGAAAACATCTTTGCCTCGCGCTGCCGGGGAACGCTGCCAGGGAACGGTGTTGCGAGGCAAGGAAATTATTATTTTCGAAAATTGTGATGTCTTCTTGAAATACTAATTGGGACATTCTCCGATTTCTCTTAGAGCACGGAGACGATTGCTCCGTCGAGTCTTCTGATCTCTATTTTCATCCTCAATTCTTCCAGCTGCCTCACTCATTCTCTCTCAGTTTATCGAAGTTAATTTATTCTGAGGCGATGGAAATGCAAGATAAGTCCCTAATTGCACTTCACTTTTATTTGAGCCTTGGGGTGAACGAAATGAGATTTGTGGAAAATGACGCCACTTCCCGTGTTAGCCGCTGGTCGTATCATACAGCCCATATTCCATTGCAGGTGATGGGCGAACGTTCGTGTTGAGATCCGCTGAGCTTCCTCGTACTCGCGGAGTTGAATTTGCGGCAGAAATTGCACTGAATTGCAGTCAAATGGTTGTGAATGAAACGAGATTTGTGGAAAATGACGCCACTTCCCGTGTTAGCCGCTGGTCGTATCATACAGCCCACATTCCATTGCAGGTGATGTGCGAACGTTCGTGTTGAGATTCGCTGAGCTTCCTCGTACTCGTGGATTTATGAATTTGTGTCAGAAATTGCACTGAAAAATTGCAGTCGCGTGGACTTCTGTGCGTGTGTTGTGAGTGAATCGCAACGGCTCCCTTCCTTCAGCATCGTCAAAACGCAACATAGAGCATTATTACGCACTCGTTCCATGATTCATGATATTGCCTGGATTCTTTTAAAAACAATCAATGTGTGTTCCCTATCTATCTACATTGTACATGGTTGCAGGTCGTTATTTATAAATCTTGATAATTTCAACACTTTTCTACTCGCATACTGACTTTAGCCGTTTAGGAAGCGGAAGGCTCAGCTTCCAGGTTGGCCAGAAAGGTTCTCAGTGAATCTAACTGAAGTCTTGGCGAGTGTACAAAAGCCTACAGGTAAACCTATCATTTGTACTTCATAACGGAATTGTGCACAAAAATGCGCACACACACACACACACAAACACTGTACAAACACACACAAAAGTACAAGCACATGTGCACATACACACGCCTCCCCCCCCCCCCCACACACACACACTCAACTCCCCACCCCCTGTACCATGTGTACTGAGTCTGACAGACAGACACACAATCATGTTTATGCTTCCTTCGCCACTAGTTTCGGATAATGGTGTAAACAACGAGTTGTAAAATATTGGTATTTTAGGACTCCCTGCCCTGAAGACGAGCACAGCGACGTGGATCGAGCAGATCCGGCCGCGCCGGCCTAGCGTGCTTCACTTTCTGGCCGAGGCAAACATCGTCCGCGTGCGCGCATCCCGTGTCCTCTCCCGGGCTTTTACGACTCCCTGATCTGAACCGTACGCGTATGGGTGTTAGACCCGGTTCTGACCCTGTTTATTCTAGGGAGTCGTCTTAGTTTTCTTGTTGTTCAGTTGTTGTACCGTCAGTCGTGTACATGTACATGTATAAGTAAGATGTTCGCGCCCGGATGTCATCTTGATACTCAGTCCTCACACTCCTCATCCTCATAAAATTAGCTTTTGCTCTGAAATTGTTCCGCTTTAATACTTCTCTTTTTTTTAAATACTTTTTTTCAACAATGTTACTTCTGCCCATGGCGTCCTTCTCACAGCTCGTCAGCCGACAACAGTTACTGTCACCACCATTACACTGTCGTGAGAAGGTGCTCTCTGTAGACGAGGTTGGTGATGCTCCCCGTCAAGAAGGCCCTGATAATTGACATTGCTGTCCTTGGTGATCCACGAGTTGCTGAAAAGGAAGGTGCGTGAGAAACGTGCCAAGACAACTTCTTGCTCGCGAGATCCATTGGCTATGGCAAGCTGAGACTCAGATTGTTCCTGTGGTAGTCGGAGTTTTAGGTACTGTTTCCAAACAGTTGCCAGGATACCTTTACAGCATCGGTATCACCAGCTACTGGTCTGTGGCAGAATTGCAAAAGAATGCTCTCCTTAAAAAAAGATCCTTGGCTCGGCAGCTATCCTGCGTAAGCCGGTAAGGTCCTTGATATGTAATGCTTCTGGGGTGGGCGATGGAGGTCTTTCGGTCCTGTCTTCCTCGGCCTTTGGCCGAGTTCTGATGGATAATGATAACGATAGTGGCCTCTTTGTTCCACACGTCGCTCTGTCGTGTACATGGGATACCATGTGAAGATAAGTACATGTACGACTACAAGCACCATTGTGATCCGGTGATTGACACCAACAATGACGGCATACCAAGAGCACCCTGCACTTGCAAGGCCTTACAACACCTGCGTATCTTAAATTCTGCATGGCGTGATCTTGTGCTTTGCCTTTGAACTTGAAGGAAGGCAGCATCTCGAGCAAAGATGAAGTTCCAGTATCCGATATAGCAAGACTAGAGACGGCCAAGAGGACGCGAACACTGCCATTTATTTTGATGTAATAAATGGCAGTGATGGAAAAAATAGTACTCGAATAATTCTTGGGGACGTGGCT